GGGGGGGGGGGGGGGGGGGATAAATTGCAGATCAAATAATCCTAAACCAGTAAGAAAATTCAAATGGGACAATATGTAAGCATGTGTGCATGGAACTGTAGAAATACTATTAAAATTTATTTTCCTACTTGAGGCTGTTTTGTAGGAGAGCAAATCATATGTGAGAAATGGTGTTTTTCATTTTCCCTTAGTGAGAAAATAACTTGGGAATAGGAGGGAGGATGTAAACTGAAGAGAATTTTTAGTCATTGTGTTGTCTGTTTCCTATATTTGAATAAAAGAAGTTGTTTGATATATTTTATAGGATTTTTGTATACTCTGTATGATTTTTTTTTTTCTCTTGAGAATATGTATAGTGTGGGACTAGATAGCCAGAACATGGCTAGCCGGGAGCTTAAGCAGACGTGAATGAAAGCCTGGATTCATGATGTAGTGATCTGAGATGCATGTCATTAACTTTTCCCTATGTCTTTACAAATGCGAATTACATCCACAGAAGTTAGAATGAGGTGACTTGTAAGTAGCTAAGAACAGAATTTTCTTTTTTTTTTTTTTTTTTTTTATCTCTTACTGGTGTAAGACAGTTTTCTTGTGTCATCGTTCTGTAATTAGGACTATCTCTATTTCATTAAATACCTGCAAGTGGGAGCTGACTGGAAATACTGTTATGGGATGATTCCAGCAGTTCAAGGAAGAAGGTTTTTTCCTTATGCCGATGTGTAGTTTATAAATAGCAGAAAATAAATTCTACGTAGTGTATTTTTACAAAACTTAATTCTGGGACTGTTGCCTCTTTGCCTGCTTTTTGATGCTCTTTAAGGGCAAGTTCTGCAGGCTCAGAAAGTATCTGTAACAAAAAAATCTCCCACCTTTCCAGCTTTGGTGCTGAGCATTCCAGTTGGGAAGGAGTAGGATAGAAAGGGGACAGAACAGTCAGGCTGGAAGATGCCAGTGCAGGCTGAAGGACACTTTCAGCCATACATACGAGTGTTTTGGTAATGTGGATATCTTGTTTTCATGCCTGTGCTGTATTCTCTCACATCATGCAGAAATATGTATCTGTTTTTGACATGATGTTGAGATCTTCCCCGGATGTTGTACATACAGTTTGTAATTTGTCTTTCAGTGGAAGGCAATGTTGCTATCATCTTTTCTGTATCTGAGAACTCTTGTTTGTTACTAGTTGGAGAACTTGACTAGTCTTTGAAGCAAAAACATGCCTCTTAGTGCCTTCTCATGAAGGCTTAGTTTTTGATAAATTAGAGTTTGATAAACCTGTGTCTTGTCAGATGACACAGCTGGT